AAAGGGACTTTATTGTTCTAAATGCATATTAATTGTTGATACGTATCTTATCTCCAGAGACTAGACCACTATATATTTTTTTCTGTGTCTCCCAGAGTCTAGTCCTAGATTTGGGCATAGTTGGGAGAAAGTTGCCTTTCTTCAAATGGCCTAAACATTATTTGTAACTTGGTTCTACTGTGAAAAATTTCCTTGGGAAGGTTAAGTTCTATATCTTCCTGACTCCAAATTCTATTAAAAATAACAACAATGAGACAGAAATTTCCATCTAAATTTACTACGTAAAGTCCTTTGATAATAAAAAGAGCACCATTAGCCTGGCACTGGTGGCTCATGCCTGTAATCCTAGCTACTTGGGAGGCTGAGATCCAGAGAATCACAGTTGGAGGCTAGCCCAGGAAAATATTTTCCAAGACCCTATCTTCAAGATATCCAGAGCAAAAATGGACTGGAGATGTGGTTCAAGCAGTAGAGTTCCGCTTTGCAAGCACAAAGTCCTCAGTTCAAAAATCCCAATCCCCCGGAGATAGAGAGAGAGAGAGAGAGAGAGAGAGAGAGAGAGAGATCCTTCAAGTTCTAACTTAGCAAAAGATCAATGAAAGTGGAAGATTAAATCTAGTTAAAGAGCCCTGACAGGGTTAAGGGCCAAAGTTTATGCCCCATTCTTGCCAATGATTCTTGTGTGAATTTAAACAAGTCACTTCACCACCTCAGTTTTTTTCTTCATCTTTAAACAGAAGAGATTGGGCTAATATTCACATTCTTGATTATTTGGAGATCAGAGACCTTTCTGAGATTCTGTTGAAAACTATGGACCTTCTTCCTCGAAAAATACATAAATACAACTATAAATAGAATTCCAAGAGGGTCAAAGGCTCTTCAAACCCACCCACGAATTCCCTGGAGGACTTTAGAATGATTTCTAAGGTCTAAAGTATGTGGTTGCACAAAACAACAAATAAGAATCCATTTACATTTGCTACTCCCAGTATGTGTGAATTAGTTTTAAAATATGAATGTGAGCTATTATGCCATTTGAAGTTATAATTACTTGTTTTTTGCAACTTATCATACCCATAGAGGAATAGAGTTTTAAGTAGTACAAAATATTTCCTTTGTAGATTAATAGCATCTCAGGGTGAATGAGGTTACTAGTTCATCTATAACCCATCTCAGTGCTTCAGAGATGGAAGCCCAGCTTAGACTTGGACATGTACAGTGATGCAGAGCTTACTTGTGTTTATTTCCAGTCAAACACAGGGAATTTAGGACCTATCATCTATATACTGAGCTATAATCTGCCTCCCACCTTATAAATGTCAGCTGTTAACACTATGTCTGCTTTCAGTAACTTCATAGATGAATTGTATTCTTTCTCAGTTGTTTAGGAATTCAAAGGCAACCTCTGTTGTCGTCTTACTAACATTCCCATTTCATGCTACAATTACTCTAGAAGAGTAATTTCAAAAAATTTTTAAAATCCTTATAACCCTTTTCCATGGTCCTCTTGAAACACAGAGTTCAGAACTGGTCAGCATATTATGGAAAAGGTTTTACCACATCATTAGAGAGAAAATCTCTTTCTGAAACTGTTGACTCTGCTATTGGAACTACCCAATGGCATTTGTCAAGCAGAGCAAAGTCAAGAGCTCTGCTCCTAGAAACAGATAAGTACTAAAAGGTCATGCTGAAAATGTGGTCAGCTAAGTGCCTAATCATGATCAATCAACATTGCCTTCACACTCTGCTTTTTAGAGCCAAATTTACTTTTCTTAAAACAAGAACTCTGGTTGCCCACTCCTTGATTGTTTATGCATAGTTCTAGCTCTTGGAGACATTTTGGAATACTAGTTTTTCATTGTGTCATCTTTTTCACCTCAAATTTTGTGCCATCTATAAATATAATAATCTGCCACCTTGGGCTGCAAGTAAATTGGTTAAAAAATATTTATGCTTGATTTGGCAAATACAAACTTCTGTTAGTGGATTCACAGTTCATAATTCTGCACTTGGTTGTTTCACACCAATCCACATTTAACTTCCTGATCTACAGAACAGAGAAGAGTATAGCGTTATGGTTTTCTGGGGGCAACATTTATTTTTTTTCCTTCTCTTATACTTTCTTTCCCTCCAACTCCATTTTCTTAATTTCTTTACATCTGCATACTGCATCCCTGGTCTTGTGTATGGTCCCTTTTCCTGTGTGTTCATTTGGTGATGGAGAAAGTGCCTTCATTGTATTACTGGGATGCCTTTGCCTCCTGCCAGCAGGCAGCTTTGGCTGAGTCTGTGCTTGCTCCCTGGAGGTTCTCTGCCAATGCCCACATTCAGGTGAGAGACTTTCCTCATGCTCATTAACTTTTGGCAGATGTGGAGTCTCTAGGATTTTCATCATCTCCAGACCAATTTATTTTCTTCTACCTCTGAATTATCCAAACATCAAATAAATGTTTAAAGAAAATTTAAACAAAAGTATCTGTGTGTTTGGGATTGGAAGAAGGAGTATGGAAAAAGAAAGTATTAAATAGTCCTCAGCAGAATTCAGTTTCAGCATCATTGCATCCATACCCAAATGAGTATAGCTTAAAAGAAAAGGGAAATGCTAGTATAAAGGCTGTTTCAAAACACAAATTCATCAATTATCTACTGTCCATTTGAAAGAAGATATTAGAGTAAACTTTCTGGAAACCAAAGAATTTGCAACAAATGTTCTGGAGAACATCTCTGTGACATGTCACCAACTTCTGCCACATAAAAACTTTTCACCTGGTACTATTTTATTTCACAATTGAATTAGGTTAAGAAAGTTTGTCTTAGTGAGTTATTTTACTCCGAAAAGGTGTTGCTTTCTCACAGAATTTTGTGACTATTCTTAGTATAAAATAATGGAAACGTGGATTAGGCTAAGTAAGTCGACCTACATCCAAGTGTAGGAAGGGGTTGGTGAGCTGATAAATAATTTGGACATTTTAATTAGTGATTTTTTTGTTCTTGATCTCCTCATTTAGGTACACCAATGTTAGCTTTAGGTCATTAACCCTTACTTAAACAAAATTGTCTCAAACACAATTTTATTACTCTGTAATTACTTTGTGATGAAAGAGAGAATTTCTGGCATCAATAGAACCTTTGCAAATTTGGAGAGGTACAATCAACCGCAACTCAGGAAAGACTGGCAGGTGGTTGAATGATGAATATTTCAGAAGAAACACCAAGATCCTCTGAACCAGGGTTAGTATTGGTATTCTAAGCTTATGATAAATCTTAATAAAAGGTAAGAAAATCTGGGTCAGCATCCAAAAAGCTAAAGGTAAAAATTAGTGTATCCTATTAATGGAACTTCATGTCTCATTTACTCATTCATTCTTGCAGTATATATTGGAAAGTATGGTGTGTCAGAACTTTCAGCATCATATTATTCGTATAACCTTAAACAAATGACTTGTCTTCTCTGGGTCTCAATTCACCACCCGGGTATCTACCTCATGGATTTGTAAGGTTTAGTGACTCATGTACATAAAACACCAGCAGTGTGACTGGTTGGATGCTCAATGAACTCCCTTCCCTTTTCCTTAGCTTTCTGACCTCTTTTCCATGTAGTTTATAATAATATAAAGTAACTTTCATTTCTTAATACAAATTACTCTTTAAAGTCTTGGGTCAACAGGAATCACAAGTGATCTGTATTTGCAGATGAAACTAAAGTATTTAAATATTATTACAACTGATCAAATATTTTTGTATGATAATCCACCAAGTCCAAGGATGTCATTCTTTGCTAAATAGTACTCTGAGACTTGCTGACTGTAATGTATGCAAATTCACATATTACTTAAGTCTTTCACAGCAAATATGACCAATAAATTCCTTTCATTTATCAATGCTAACTGGAGTGGTTTTCCTTAGTATTTAGAAAAATCTCATAAACCAATTTTCCAAAACATAAAAAAATATAAAAGTTTCCACATTAAACATCATCATATCTGTAGAGTGTCATTTAGTGTTGTGTCTTAAGAGGATATATCTGAGGGAAAAGTAATTTTGTTGGGTTTGAGGTTATAGTAGTGGCCTTCTGATTTAGACTCCAAATTTTAATTAACTTTGAAAAACAAATCTGAAGATAGAAATTGACAAAGGCATACACCAAACTGATCCTTCATTAATTCAGTTACTCATTGAGACAATAAATATTAATAAGTACCTACTGTTTGGTAGACTTTGTTCCTGGGACCCAAAGTGAAGCTAAATATAGTCCTTGGCATCAAGTAGTTTGCTCTAAGGAGAACAATATAAACAAACAGTCCTATAAGGTAACTGATAGAACAAGGGATGATACAAGTGCACTGGGAAAATATGAGGAGTTACCTAAGTCTACAAAAGGAGTGAGGAAAAATGAGGCCCGATAGGCAAGAAGGGGCTAGATCATCTGAGCCTTGTACAGCAAGCAAAGGTATGCCAATTTTTTTCCCACTCCGTAGGTCCAGTTATTGAATTTTGATTAGAGTTCTATAATCGTGGGGGATATTCAGATTCCAAAATAAGACTTAACAATATTGTGATTGTTTTGTTGTTTACATATTACAGAAATGGCGCTTACATACCCTTTTGTTCTTTGGAATTTCAATGGTTCTCCTTGTAGTTGAGTTCAGAGTTGCCAAAAGCAATATTTGAATGAAATGCTACATCAGTATAATAATAAGAGCCTCTGAGCAGAATTTTAGTTAACAGGGTTTTATTAGGCTATGATGCAATCCTTAATAGAGAAGATTTAATTATAAAAGATACCCTGACTCTAATGGAAATTTGGCTGGTGTGTTTTTACTGTTCAGTGAATTAAAAGGTTTGCATAGGATTAATTACATGGTTGACATTCTTAGAGAAAAACACATATACACCAATGGAAACTTTCCACTACTCATTTCCTTTATCTTTTGCAGCAAAACATTGAATCTGCCAGAAATAAACTTCCCTTGAATTTTGCATAATTTTTATAATTTCAGGAGTTAAACATCTAAAAGGCCAGAATGAATCAGCATTCCCCGAAGAAGAAGAAGGCGTAAATGGAAGAGAGGAGCAGTGGGACCATTAATTGCCGATCTGCAGCAAGCGTTCTTGAGAATGACTGAACATTATCTTTCCTGATCATCCCATGGAACTCTACTGCTTGGCTTCCAGAGCATCTCCATCTCTACAGTCCACCTCACAGTACTAATGCACCTCTTGGAAGCCCTCCTAGACTGAACTTTAGAACTAAGTACAAATTGTTCCATGTCACTTATACTTTAAAAATAAGTATTTATTTTACAGTGAGTTTTCTTTTCAACTATATAGAAATTTGCAAACATATCACTGTTCTAACTTTAATACTGCCAGAGCTTAGTTCTTCATATTCTACTGAGATGGTTTGCATTCTTAACTCAACTGTAAATAGCATCACTTTAAGAGTAAAAACTAAATATTAAATACACTTAGACATGAGTGTGGGAGGTTAATTTAAAGAGTAATGTCTAGTAAAACTTTTAAGTTAAGATCTACATTTATCATGTTTCTGTATATAGAGCAGAATAGAATTTATTTTAAGATGAAGAAATGTCAGATTTCTTGATTCAAAGCACTACCACATCTGATGTTAAATGTTTTTCCCCTCCAGCAACACATTAATGGTTACTTAAAGAACGATAGAATTCTCTTTGTGTGTGTGTGACATATATTTCCCAATATTTCATCTACTTATTAAAAAAGAAAAATGCTAAATCTGTAATAAAATATGCCAAATCTCTTCTGCCCCCTTCCTGGGCTATTATTTGAAATTTAGGTCATCTATTTCCTATTGTATTTTAATAAATCATTAGTGTTTTATAACTCTTCTATATCATAAAATAAGAAAATCCATTAATTTATCCATTTCCTTGCTCACTAATTCAAAAACTATTTTTGTGAGCTTATTCCCAGAAAGATACTCTACTAGGAGTTATAAAATAAAGAAAAGATAATTTCTTCTCTGTAGAACTGGTATTAGTATAGAGCAGGTTTTACAAGACAGTATGAATTTATTGAAGATGGTCTTTTAATAACTCAAAGTTTTAGTGGGGATGGAGGAATGCTCAATTTGGTTCCTACATTGATGATATTAGTGAAGTTCAAATGCTTCATGAATGAAAAATAAAAGAAAAGATTCCTCAAAAATCAGTAAGGAGAAATTAAGATAAGGAGAAAAAGTAAAATGTGAAAACTTAGTATTAAGATTCAAAAGAGTAAAATGATTGTTTTTAAATTTGAATATGAGTTTTGTAATATAGCACTTAAGAGAGTTGTGTGAAGCTATAAGTGAATGCAGTAGACATAACATTTTCCTTTGTATACTTTCCCCAAGGAAATAAATGCAAAACTCGTTGATAAATAGCACCATGAATATGAATGAATACTCTAGTTTCTTCTGTCCTTGTCCTTCCATCCCTTCCTTCCTTCCTTTCTTCCTCCCTTCTCTCCTCTCTCCATGCTTCTCTTTCTCTTTCTTTCTTTCTTTCCCCTTTCTGTCTATACTGCCCTCTTTTTTTGTTTTGTTTTGTTTTCTACTTTGCTAAGCCACTTTCTCCTAAAACTTTTTGGAGTTTTTGACCACCTTTTATGCTGTTTGATTTCCTAAGTTCCTCTCTACTTAAAACCTGATTAAGGCCTATAACTGTTTTAAGTTATTTTGAATTATTTGTGTTTGGAAAACATCCTGACACCCCTTGTGAATATTTGAGACACCCTGAGGTACTAAAAAATAAAATCACCCTCCACTTTCCTTGAATAAACACTTTTATAAAAATTTTAAAAGGATTTAGGCAAACAAAAAGAAACCAAAGCTTTTGCTGAATTTGTAACAGCATTTGTAGAAATAAACAGCATGACTTCTGGATTCTTCTATTCTGTTCTTCATTCTTAAGAACATAAAGAGAGCAAAATTAAAAACATAAGTTTCCTTTAGCAAATGTTTTTTTTTTCTATTCTTTTCTCCACTTTCAAAATATAAAGAGCTCACAGTTAAAAGCATAAGTTTTCCTTGGGAAATATTTCAGTTTTCTCAGAAATTTGAAGGAAGCCTGCTGAGATAATGGGTTTTCAATTTCCTTTCACATAATTATAGTTTATGATAATTTTCTTTTCAAGAAGACAATGTGGATTCAGTTTTGCTGACTGGGCAAAGAAACTTTCTGACCAATATAAAACAAAAACTTTGATTTCCCAAATCACATTAATAATATAATGGTTTGTAGCTGGGCTCTGAGTCACTCTGACTTAGACTCAAATTCAATCTCTACTAGATTTTATACTCCATTTATAAAATAGATACAGTCATACATAACCTATGTTGTTATGAAACTTGAATAAGATAAAATCTATTAACAGTTTAGTGAGCATCTAATGATGGTATCTACTATTATAATGAGAGTTAGAAAGGACGCCATACATCTGTCTAAACTTTATCTAGCCAGATCTGTTGGTGTACACATGCCTGTCATCTGAGAAGCTGAGGTACGAGGATCAGGAGTTCAAAGCCAGCCTGGGTTACCATATAGCGAGATCCTGTCTAAATAAATAAATAATAAAACAAGCTTCATCTAATGTATGGTCCTCTTCAACATCACAGACAAGTGATCACTCCACTTACTATTGAGTAAATCCAGCTGTATCCCAACTAACCAAAGAACTTTAATTAATCCTCTGTGTTAAACCCCCCTTCTTATGACCCTTACCTCTTCCTCTTTTTTCACCTCTGAAGACTCCACTCTACCTTTAACTCCTTTCCTACCTCTCAGCCATTCAGACATCAAGAAATGCTCTGATGCTTTCTCCTAACCTGCCTCGTTTCTTTCATAAAATATCACCAGTTTCCCCTAAACTTTTCTCATCACCCTATCCACTGACTTTTGGATCCTCTTCAGTTGTTTGTACCAAATGTAAGAAAGGTTACGTTAGGTAAATAAGTCATGGATTAGTTTTCTATCTCCCTATACAAGAGAAGAGGCAGAGAATGTGGCAAGGCAAGGCAGGAGTCCAGGCCAGGTGCACTCATTGTACAATCAATTTGTAAGCCCTTTTTCTCTCCAAAGTTGTCCAAAGTAAGGATCTTTAGACTTAAAAAAATTCTCAGATTAATTTCTGTTCTTAAATATTCACCATTCACTTTTAATTTTAATGTATACCAACATTTTTTGCATTGTGGGAAATAAGAGGATTTCAGTTTGGCCAAGAATGAATTATTTTTATTTTTATAGTAATGCATAGTATCATAATATGTATAAAAAACATATAACCAACAACTTCAAATCTATGATTTTGTAGCTATTGTTGCTTAGGATGGGGCCAGTTGAAAGTATGAAAATATTTTAAGTCCACTTAAAAAATATATTCAATCACTTTGCAAGAGGAAGTACCTCCAACTCATAAAAGTAATATACCATTGAATGAATTTTCAGAAGCATTGGTTTTGGATATTATCAAATAACTTAAGTGCAAGTATTACAGAGTTCATTTAATTGCAATATGGATTTATGAATTCATAAATAAACCATGTATATTGCACTAATTTTAAAAGTCTTTGTTGTATGCTTCTTTATCCACATCTAATAGCAAACAGTTTAAGTGCAAAATGAATTATAAAAAGATATCTACTTCCATGAAAATATTTAGGCCAATATGCAAGTTTGAATATTTGCTTTCTCTGACTAAGGGGCCTAGGGGAAGAAATACCTTTACTTATTTTATAAGTTACTGATTCCAAAAACCAGTCCTCAAAACCCTCAAAGCAAGTATATTAATTAATAAACAGGTTGCTGAAATGTGAAATCTGTTAAAGAAATTAAATGATTACACTTCATAAGGTCATAACATTTTGAAGAACTAAATATCCAAGACCTTTAGGAAAATGCTGGGGGACATCATTAGTTTTGAATGACATTATAAGTAATTAAGAAGGTGCTAAGCTTTGCAAACATCCCACACAATTTGGAGAGCAAGGAGGGTAAAGGTTTCTACTTTGCTATGGCATGTGAATTTAATGAACTGATCCACATGAATGCTTAGGTGCCTGACTATGCTTTATAAATAAAGAGGTTGTTCAACTGTAGCTCTCTCTTTGACATTTGTTTTGTGGAAACAGACAGTGTTGCAGCCCTTCCCCCCAATTACATTTAACCATCATTTCATGCATATAGTGGAAACCTGATCTATAGAGGGAAGATGAAGTGGATTAAAGGAAAAGAGATGTAGGAGTGAATTTAAGTTTGGAGACTTGAAGAAACAACTGTGGATTAAAATGATATTGTATTTATCTTTATTTTTATTTCTTACTCTACCAATATGATTTTGTATTTTTTCTCCTTTTCTCTGACTTTCTGTAACAATGAGGTAATTTGAGAGAATGAGTATGGTAAATCCCAGGAGTCTGTGACATTGCTATATCAGAACCCTGAAAGTGAAATATTCAGCAAGTTGCTTTTCAGAATACGTGTTAATTTACAAAGGCAGACAGTGATGAAATAAGCTCAGATGGTTTGTAGAGCACATTACCTAAGCCTTGTTTTCCAGAAGTGAGACCAACCTAGAGGTGTTAGATTTTTTGAACTGGAAAACTTCACCAAATTCTGGTTTATGTCCATAAGTGGGAAAACTAAAGCCTAGAAAAATTTTCCACAGATATAAACACTTGAAAACGTGTTAGACAGGAAAGTATTTACCAGAATATAATAGAAAAATCAGCAGATGTTACTGAGGTTTGTCTCTGCATTCAATAAACATCCAGGACCAGAACAGTAGAGCAACAGGCACTTCTTATTTTCCTACATTTGCAGAGTTGTAACCTCATGGTCCCAAGAGAGCTACTATTCCAGGCATGTGGTCTGGTCCAAGCAGAAAGAGCAGTGGGAAGAGAAAAGGAGAAAATCTATTGCAAAGAAATAAAACTTTCCAGAAACTCAACTGACATCTCATTAGCAAGAGAGCTGCTACTGCAGGCATGTGGTCTGGTCCAAGCAGAAAGAACAGTGGGAAGAGAAAAGGAGAAAATCTATTGCAAAGAAATAAAACTTTCCAGAAACTCTC